GTGGACCCCTAGAAAATACGAAATTTTTCACCAGGCCTGACCACTTTGCCAAATAAAACTTTTTGTATATGTTCAGGGGGGCAAAAATGCAGTCGAAGTGTTGAAAAATAAGAAACATAGCAAAAATGAATGATGAAAACCACCTGATTGCACCATTAGCTTTGGTCTCTGGGAAGAGACTCCTCTATAAACCACTTTGTTTGAGGGAGGAGGAGCAGGATTAAGCTTTTAGCCTTTAGTCCTCTGAGGGCCATTCTTTTGTAGGCTGATGTTTGACTGTATGATTCCACAATAGCAAGCAGTCCCAGGTGAAACATGCTGAAGCTAAAACATCTACTATCAAACATTAGGAGAGTTTTACCATGGCTCCATCGTCTCTGGCCCTACGTATGTTCTGTCGTCCATCCAGCCAGTAGACTAGCCGGTCCAGGGGGTCGTAGCTGACAGCTCGGACGTTCCTCAAGACGTGGATGGGCAGGATGATGTCAGGACTCTGTTCTCCCAGAACCATCCTGCTGATACTGGCCTTTTGACTGAAGAGCAGGAAACTAGAGGGAGCTGCAGACAGAGAGGCAGAAAGGAGGGGATGACGGGTGAAGGAATGGAGAGAAGGAGTGAGTAGAGACTGTTCTCTCTCTCTGGTAAAAGGAAGGCCAAAGGTTGCTCAATGCATATTGTGAAATATAAAGACAAACACGCAGGGTCAAAACCTAGTACGCCAAGCCCTAACACACACGTCAACAGCTGAAACCGCTCTGAATGATGGTCCCAGGAGCTGAGGAAGAGTTTGGAAACAAGAAAAGTATGCTGGATTTCACACAAAGGCAACTGAGGTTAATCCTTTTACCTTTTACTTGGATCCCTTCTGTTCCATTTGCTCTCGACTCCCAAATAAAGCTGCTTGGAAGTCCATCATAGGACAACCGCACAATCTCTCAAACACACACATACATTTCCAACCATCTCACTGTGAATTGTTTCAGTACCTGAGCAAAAAACAAATAAGAGGTGAAATTTGAAATCTGTTCAATATAAACCAGCTCATTTGTAAATGCTTAATAGCAGGGGTTGTGCAGCTGTTTAAGAGTCAAATTCAAGCAAGATGATTGCCATACAAGACTTACTTCCTGTTGCCAAAAGGGTGGCGCTATGACTTAATATTGGCATGCAGATGTGTTCAAGTTGGGACTTTTATCAGATATGTGAAGTCTGGCACAGATTGGATAATCTGTCTATAATCTATAGACTGTACTGGCCAGATTTGAAGTCAATCCAATCAATTCCAGAGGAGGAGTTACTTAAAATACAATGTGTGGAAATGGCGCCAAAATGGCACTCACTGCTTATGCCCTAAATATGATGATTGCTGGAGGATTGTTGTTATTGTTCAACTGAAGGAATGTGGCAATAAATTCGGAAATAGTGTGCTTTATTTAAGAACTGAGACAGACTCTCAACCACTATTAGAACAGCAGTACTGTATTTTACTGCCTTGTTCAAGGACACCTCAACTAGACTTCTTAAAAGCTGGGATGTTTCTCATTTGTTTTTTACAGTCAGTCCTGGGATTCACACCAGTGACCTTCTATTCCCAAACATACTTGTGTTACTCTCTGAATCCCAGCAGCTCTGTACTTACAGCTACAGTTTCGTGCATCTGTGTTCAGTGTGTAGTGGGAGGCACAGCGGCACTGGGCACCAGCAGGCGTAGCGAGGCAAAGGTGGGCACAGTTGCCGTTGTTATGTGAGCACTCGTTGGTACCCTCCTGACGAGAGGAATGGAACACCAGGATGTCCAGCATCAGCTCCAGCTGGCCCTGAGGACACAATAATGCAACAGTGGAAAAGCTCAGTATCCTAGGGCCTCATTTATAAAAACATTTCTAAGATTTGTACTTGAACTTAAGATCATTTCTGATGGGGTACTTACGTCGGATTCATAAAAGATACTGAGCATACTAATCCTTGCTTTAGCAGGTTCTCAGAAGCCCATTTATAACTTACACACCTGTGATCTTTAAATCTTACATTTACGTAAAATTGACAGTACCTGCCTTACTGATTTCCCCTTACATAATGCAAGAACAAATGAGGGTTTACTTAGGAATAAGCATGGACCAAAACACACACACACAATAGATAGTGAATTAACAGGGGTATGAGTCTGTGTTTAATTCATTCAACAAACCAGCACACTATTTTTAAAATCTTTTTAACTGTTCATAAGTCATTCCCAAGGTCTTCTCTCACTAAGCACAGCTACAATGGAGGTTGAGTGACTTTAGTTTGTACAGAATACAATTTATCTTTATGAATTATATTCAATTTTTCAATTCAATTCAA